AAACACGGCGAGTCGAGTTAATGCCAAAGAGCTCAATTTTGGTCTCACCTTACTACAGCACTTTCTCCCAAGCCTTCTCTGAATCATTTAGATGTTCTTTGGCAAACTTTAAACAGGCCTGTACATGTGCCTCCTTGAGCAGGGGGACCTTGTGGGCACTGCAGGATGCCTTTCGCACCTCAGGAACCTTTTCATAGTACCAGAAATAATTTGCCGTACCATGCAGTGGAAAAGCGCCATTATACACCTAATGAGCTGGCATTAGGAGTAACTTCTTAAAGTGGCAGTACTAATCTGTGTTCCACATGGGCACATAACCAATCTGTGGGAGACAGAATTCTCTGAACGAAAATAATTTATTAATTGGCAAAGGAAACAATAGTAAAAACATGCTATTGGAGATGCACTAATAAATCTTTCTCAATTACTGATGATTATTTTAATGCTATGGCTATGTGAATTCGACAAAACTTGTCCAGGTCATATTTGTTTTCAAAAGAAAGTACAGTATTTTTAAGAATATTAAGAGCTTTGAATTGTTATTATTATTAATTTCGTGACAATTAAGGACATTTTGCCCCATATGTATTTGTATTACTACAACGCAGAACAATCTAATTCCTACAACTGTAATGTAAAATAAATAAATATTAGTACTTATACTTAAAAAAAAAAAGTATACATTATGCTGGTATTTCTTGTACTTTATTTAATGTATGCTGACTCAAAATTACAAAAAAATGTCATTTTGGAATTTGGTGGAGTAGAGGAATTTTCTGTATTATTGTCTATTTTTTATATAAATGTATAGATTAAATAAATATAATTTTTAAATGTTTTTTATATATTTATAATTGCTTATTTTATTTAATTATAACTAATAATAATATTAATCACTATAAAATATTTTATAATAAAGTATTTTATAAATATTTCATGTATCATGCAAGTATTTCTTGTGCTTCCTGATGTAAAATAATGTAAACTGAGGATTTGGTGGGGGAGTATTATGTATAAAATAAAATAGTATTTTATATTATTATTGTTGTTCTTGTTGTTTTCATGACAATTAAACAAATTTCCCCCCAAATTAAAATATATGTAATATAACGAAATATATATATATCCCCATCCCTTTTGGAATGTGACCATATCTGCTTACATTGTCTGTTAATAATATTGGTGAATATTGGCATTTATTAGTGAAGGTGTTGTAGTGAGTGTGACTGATGGTTGTTGTGCTGCAGGTATGTCAGTGGTGAGCAGTATGCTGAGTGCAGATGAAGGCAGCAGTGTCACTGTTCAATGTCTCTACAGTAAAAACCTCAGGTAACCTACTGTACATCTTTAACAGACTCATCTAAGAAGTGCCAGATATATGAATATCCCATAACCTGCAACGTATTTAACATTAATATATAAAGTGTTTATATGACAGACGTAATAACTTTTTTTTTAGCTGATAGATTTTTCTGATTTAATATTTAAATGCATCATTGCTTTCCCTGCAGGTCCAGTGAGAAGCGGTGGTGTCGCAGTGGGAACTGGAACTCCTGCATGGTGACGGACTCTGAAGGAACATTCAGCAGCAGAAAAGTCTTCATCCATGATGACAGGAACAGCTTGTTCACGGTGACGATACAGCAGCTGGAGATGAGAGACTTGGGCTGGTACTGGTGTGGAGCCGGTCAGCAGCAGGTGGCTGTTCATGTGTCAGTCACAGCACAAACCACAACACGTACGTCACACAGAGACCACAGCTGACACCACAAACTACATTCTTACATAATCAGTAGAAATGTGAGTGGTGTTTACCTGCAAATAAAGAGAAACCTATTGAACACATTATGTAGTTTCTGCCACACTGCATCACTGAACTTTTGCATAGATAAACTCTGCTCATGTTGCATTTGATTTCTGTCCTTATGCCAGTGAGCACAGCGTCTCCCATCCAGAATCTGAAGACAACAGTCAGAAATCCATCTGTAATGAGCTCAAATGACCCTCACAGGTGACCTTCTGCTCTACACCAGCACACTTCTGTATATTCATTTCTCATGAATGGATAAAAACATTTTAGCAGTCAGCTGTGTCATATATAGACAAATATTTTGGTGTTTGACTTAAACATGATGTCTGTTTCAGTCGTCCTGTTTGGGAGTCTCCTCTTGTGGTGTGTGGGGTCGCGCTGCTGGTCATCACTGCATTTTTGGCACTTTGGAAGTTACGGCAACGGTGTAGTAAGTTTCTAAAGTTATTTGTAGTTTTTTACTGTCTTATAAATTCATTGAATTAAAGGATGAGTCATTAGTTACTCATAAACTAGTCTAGAACCATTAAAGTCTCTTTGTTCTTTTTAGATATCTAATAAGCATTTGTTTACCTTTATTTTAACCCTATTTAGCTTTAGAACAAAAATTATGCATTCTGTTTTTTCTGTGCATAATGCTATTTTTCTCCATTTTGCAGAGAAAAAGCAGAAACATCGAGGGACAAATGAAATGAACGATAATCTCACAGTCAGTGCATTTTCTCTGTTACCTTACAGTCAGCATTAAATAAAAAAAATACCCTTTTTATTTTCTTAATGTACATTTCTGTTCTTTTTGTGGAGATATTATTGGTGTACATTGCTCCAAAAAAAAATTGTGGAAAGAGTAAAAATGGAATCTGATTAAGCATTTGAAAGATGTTCATTATTAAATGGAATTCCCCCCCTTTTGTAAGTAGATCACAATTGAATCAGTTCAATTCATGAATGAACCGTTTAATGCCATTTGTGAGCCAACTGAACTGGTTAATTGAAAGAATTGTCTTGAATTCTTCACTTTGAAATAAGGGGAAATTAAATGTAAAACGTGAGATATTATGCTTTTAAGTATAAGTTCAATTTTCCCCAGAATGAAAATACACTGATGCATGTACAGGTGCATCTCAATAAATTAGAATGTCATGGAAAAGTTCCATTTATTTCAGTAATTCAACTCAAATTGTGAAACTCGTGTATTAATAAACCTTTAAATCTTTTAAGCAACTGTATGAAGTTTTGTGTGTTTTTGCGACTTTGGCACCCTCTACAGTTAAGTGAAAGAATTCACTGTCGTAATTACAGCGGAGAGCTGTACACGTGCATTTGTTGCTGCAGTAAAGCAATCCGCTCCTTTTGCGGAATTTCGTACCCCTCCCGCTCATTAAACATACACACTCCCAGAACAGACGTTTGTGAAAGAAAAAGAAAAAGAAGTCATTCGCCATATTAGAAATCAGTGTGCCATCAGAACGATTTTGAAACTAATATTTCAAGGTAAATAAACAGACATATAGATGCTTTAACAAGAAATTACACATGAAGTGCTATGCACAGATTTATACACGGCTCACAATTATGTTGTGTCTGTGTCCAACTGTGATGAGATGTTTTTCTGCTGTATTTGATATTGTTTTACTCGTTTTCAGATGTGTCCTTGGAGAGAAGGAGACTATAAGAACGCCTCAGTGATTTTCCTGAACGCTCCAGCTCAGGCCCAGATGCTCTGACAGAGGAGCTTCATGATGGGAAACACCAAACTCATGGACATTCTGATGCTGAAGGAGATCTGAAAGGGAACTGATGGACACTTTGACTCTTTAAGTCTCATTATGAAGTCTAAGAGAGTCCTGCATACTGGAGAAGCTGGAGGCCGGGGTAATATTTGACATTCCTTCACATGTAACAGTTAAATGGAAGATCATCTTTCATTTTAATGCATATTTCATGTCATGTATTTCTCTGTAAGCACAAGCCTTATGAGTGAATTGTGCTGTTTAAGCATGTTTTTACCAATGAGCAGCGGTTATTCTCAACTAACAGTGCAGAAAATGTGTGAAAGATGTGCGAATGTTTACAGAAGCACTGAGAATGTGTCCTTATATCACTTTTTACCGTATTAGAGACTATATATCGTCATGTGTTTTATCAGCATATACTGAATACTATCATAAATGATAAAAAAAAACTTTCATCTGTTATTAACCTCTGTACAGAAATAGTGTCTTATTCACATCCTGTTTCAAGTCCTATTAACATCTTTATTTGTGGTTGTTTGTCACCTCCTGCATATAAATAAACGTAACTCACTTAAGCAGTGACCCACTCAAGTCGGTCAATACACAGAAACCTTAAGAGGGAAACGCTTTGATGTCGATTGCATTGCACATGAAGTAAATAATTCTTATTAGAATCATCTTAAATGTCTCGACCAAGTGATGCATATGTAACTTGTGATTTTTGCAGCATTTGCAATCAAGTATGACGTTTTATTGTAAATCAACTTTTGTGACATAAGCAACTGAATAGCACGGATGCAGGAAGTGAGAGTCTGAGACTATGAGAACTTTATATCATATGTGATAAGCATAAGAAAGAGATAAGCTGTATAACAGAGATAAGAGACAAGCTGTTTCTGTAGTATTACCACAAAGAAAATGTACACGATGAAGATGCAGAGTGAACAAACATTGCGACGTTTTGACAAAAGGACTGTCAGTTTGAAGTTCTTTGTGTTTTTCCTGTAGCTCATAACAGGCAAGTGTCTGTTTTTAATTTCTGTTTATAATTAATTTCAAACGGTTAGTTGACGTGTTCTGCTGTATAAAAAGCTATACTCTTGTCTAAAACTATTTTAAACAGTGTTTTGATCATTCTTTTATAATCACAGACTTTTATTAATAGAGAAATGCATTCATCATGCTACTGGACTAATTACTCTAGTGTTGTGTTCTTTTGACTTAGAGATTGCATTGCATTGTTATTGTATTTGAATCAAATTAATTTGACTAAAATGGCCAGTTATCCACAAATAATACTTTTTTGACTCAAAAACTGAATATATAAGCTCAGATCAATGACTCTTGCAATATATTAATTCCAAAAATAAATACGAAACCTGTGCTAACTGAAAGTAAGCAAGTTGACAAAACTGACTGAATTCAAGATTTGGTGATAGTATAGCATATTGAAATATTACACCAATTAGGAATTTTTAAAAGGCTGGTAATTTTTTTAATCAAATTGGGTAATGGATTTTCAGCACAGCACAAGGGTTAAGAAGATGAACGAAGGTAGAAAAGTGGTTCAAAACTTGAAAGAAATAGTGAGTAGTCACAGAAGGAAATAAAATACTGCATGTTACCATATACATTCATATTAAATTTGACCTAAAAACTTGATTTAAAAAAAAACGTCCAAGTGCATGTTTCGCATTGATAACTTCTATAAGTTATGAACTTAAATACTAAAAGAAAAGAAAGCAATTGAGCTAAAAAGTGTAGCATGTATACATGCATCTAAATAAAATTCTTCTATTATTAACATTGACAAAGAACTCAAACTCAAAAGTTGGTCTTTTTTTTAAATCCAGGTTCTGAATGCAGATTGTTAACAGTTCAGACTGGAGGATCACTCATTATTCCATGTCATTATGACAGGAAATACACTGAACACAAGAAGTACTGGTGCTTTCATGCGAAAGCAGCATACAATTACTGCTATATTCTGGCATATGTTAATGAAACCAAAGGAAAAGTGTCAGTACTTGATCATCCAGATCAGAGTTTCTTTACTGTGACTATGAGAAACCTGCAGTATGAAGACACTGGAGCTTATTGGTGTGCTGTGGAGATTGAAGGAATAACACTGGATGTGACAGAGCAGCTTCATCTCACAGTTCAAACATGTATGAGACGAGTTTTAACATTCAACTGAAAAATACTAATTCCTCATAAATTACAATGCTAAATGACTTGTGTGTGCGTGTGTGTGCGTGTGTGTGTGTGTGTGTGTGTGTGTGTGTGTGTGGCTCCTGATGTGTCTGTGGTGAACAGCAGTGTATCTGGACATGAAGGTGGTGATATCAGTGTTAAGTGTCTCTACAGTTCTAGATATCAGAATAAACTCAAACAGTGGTGCAGAATTAAAGATCAGAGCTGTTACACAGTGGGGAGGACCGACACATCCCAGAATTCATCAGTCCAGATCAGTGATGATGATGATGGGAGAACCTTCTTCACTGTGCTGATGACTGGACTGAGACTGACTGATTCTGGCTGGTACTTCTGCTCTGTAGGAGATCAAAAGGCTTTTGTTCAGCTTAATGTCACTGGTAAAACTCACTCACTAAATCTGACGAGATTTCTTGAACAAACAGATTTTTGCATCTTTTTCTGTGCTCAGTCCCTGATGTATCATGTAAACGGAATTAAGTTTATTTTAATCATGTTCTCAAGGTTAATATTCCTTTTTATTTTCTGACTGTAACTGGTGTTACATCAGTGAGCTCATCTTCCTCTTTTGCACGGATGTCTATTTTAGTCTTTTGCGAAATTGCAATGTCTTTGGTGTGAAATGGTTTATACTACAGCAAATGTGTTGTTAAGAGTAACAGCTCAATGCAATTTAGACATTTCACTTAATATATATGCCACAAATAATGTAAATCAAAAGTAAATAATTTTTAAATGACCAATAAGTAACAGTGCAAAAAAGAAAAAAAACAGCATTTAAACTAAATATAAATGTCAACAGAACAGACACCACATTTTACAAAATAAATGTCAGCTGCACTGAGGAAGTGATATTTTTGTGACTGCGTGACGTGTTCACTACAACTAGCAATACAATTTGAAAATCCGCTTCTAAATATGGACCAAGGTAAATATAGATTCTGCAGAAGTACTATTTTTAAGATCATGACTGCAGTAACAGTGATGCAGTGTGTGTGTATGCATATATGACTCATATACTGTATACTCTATGACAAGTATATTTCAATTATGATCACACTATATTTTTGGTCACATTACAGGCTGATCTCTGAATCTTTTGTATTGTTCATCATCACAGGCATTATGGGTATCTGGAGGTGTGGATCCCAGCGGTTGTGCTGCTGATGGTGATTGTCGTGTCAGCTGTAATACTGAGAAAGAAGCATAGTCAGTACTGCTGACTTTTCTTATTATAAGACAGATTCCATTAATAATTATTTAGCAAGGATGCATTAAATTGATCAGAAGTGACAGTAATGATGTTTATAATGTTTAAAGGGGTAAATTTGTCCTTTCTCTTTGGAGTGTTACAAGCTCTTGGTGCATAAAGAAGATCTGTGAAGTTGCAAAGACTAAAGTCTCAAATCCAAAGAGATATTCTTTATAAAAGGTCAAAAATAAAAAATAAAATGTGCTATAATTGTCTTATTTACAACAATTACAAATGGTTCTTACTTTAATTGGCTAAGAGGTCTCTCCTGCCATGATTCTGCTATCATCGCCACGGGAACCGCACCCTTTGTATCCTTCAGGACGATCAAACCCACTATAGTTTTACAAATACCACCATATGTTGTGTCACGGAATGTACACTCTAAAAAATGCTGGGTTGTTTCAACCCAACTTTGGGTCAAATATGGACTAACTCAACTTTTGGGTTAAAAATTTAAGGTAAAAATGTAACCCAATGGTTGGGTTAGTCCATATTTGACCCAGAGTTGGGTTGAAACAACCCAGCATTTTTTTAGAGTGTAGTATTAAGAGTATTCAGGCGAGAATGCAGTTGTTTAGACTTCAAATATGTGTTTTATTTAATAAGATAGCACCTATTTGAACATTTGCTTTGACGTTTTCGAAGATGTGAGCTTTAAGGCGTCAGCGGCTGTTCAGCGCTCATGAACCCGCCGAGAACAGCCTTACCTCTATGGAAGCATAGGTAGCAAAATTCATTTTGAAATGTAATATGCAAAATGACAATGCAACATGTAAAATGGCAATGCATTTCTGTATTTAAATTGACATTTTCCCATACATATGTGCAACATTTGATTTATTTTTCAAATAAATGCTGTTCATTTGAGCTTTCTATTCTTCAAAGAATCCTGAATCCTGTTTCCAACTGACCGAATGATAATTTCATTTGTTCTCTCACTAACAGACAGAAATGATACCAATGTGACCACTGACAGAGCCAGTGACACAGTAAGTCTGAATTAACAAACAATTTGAGTTAAAACTCATACCTGAGAGATTTAGAGCATCAGATGTGTTTATGCACAGGGAAATGGTGCCAGTTCATCTTCAGAGGCTGCAGAGAATGATGTGACTTACACTTCTGTGACAGTACGACCTAAAACTAAAGCAGTAAGTTCAAAGAATATCTGATCTCAGTTGTTCCATAATGCAATAACATTAATCTAACTGTCAGTGTTCTTCTTAATCATCTTTCGTATCTCCAGAGCAGTCCGGTATCTGTGGAGGACGAGGTGACCTACAGCTCTCTGCACACACAGGTGAGATGTTACAGGTAATAATCACAGAATGTTTTACACACAAAATAAACATGTGATTTCATCCCACTGTTCAATCTCTTAATCACAGGTGAAAGCCACTAAACACCAGAGCAAAACATGAACACACCGGCACTGAAGCTGAAACAAGTTGATATACACTTTTTTTTGGCATACTTTTCATGCCAGTTATAATTACAAATACTGAACATGCAAAATACAAATTACAATAAAATTACTTATTTATACATTACAATTTACTGGTCCTAGTGGTAATATGGTGTAAGTACCTTTGGGCGGGATTGGAGAAGTTTTACTCAGAAAGTTAAAGCATTTTACTGTAAAAACGTTTTTTAGTAATACTAAATGTGTAAATTGTTGTTTGGAAAAAGCATAAAGCAAGTGCTATCTTATTAAATAAAACACATATTTGAAGTCTAAACAACTGCATTCTCGCCTGAATACTCTTAATACTACACTCTAAAAAAATGCTGGGTTGTTTCAACCCAACTCTGGGTCAAATATGGACTAACCCAACCATTGGGTTACATTTTTACCTTAAATTTTTAACCCAAAAGTTGAGTTAGTCCATATTTGACCCAAAGTTGGGTTGAAACAACCCAGCATTTTTTTAGAGTGTAGTATTAAGAGTATTCAGGCGAGAATGCAGTTGTTTAGACTTCAAATATGTGTTTTATTTAATAAGATAGCACCTATTTGAACATTTGCTTTGACGTTTTCGAAGATGTGAGCTTTAAGGCGTCAGCGGCTGTTCAGCGCTCATGAACCCGCCGAGAACAGCCTTACCTCTATGGAAGCATAGGTAGCAAAATTCATTTTGAAATGTAATATGCAAAATGACAATGCAACATGTAAAATGGCAATGCATTTCTGTATTTAAATTGACATTTTCCCATACATATGTGCAACATTTAGTGCAAAATGAAAATGAAAATTCAATGATATCATTTACATTTGCCATCTTCTACACTAGTTTTAATATGTGAATTAAAAACATTTTAATGCTTTATAAGTTGCAAAATTAAAATTAAATTGTATTACCCAAATTGATTAGATCTGTTTAACATGTCCAAGCAAAAACTGTAGCAAAATTATAATTTAAATGCCAGTTATTATTTAGCTCAATTCATTTCAAGTTTTGCTTTCATCCAATAGTGCTAGTGCCATAAAACTGATAACATTATTGAATATAAAGTGTCTTTTTAAAACATCAACTAAGTAAACCAAAGGTGTCAGTGACCCAGCAAACACAGAACGTTCCAATATGGTTCCCTTTCGGTTGGCTATTTATTTTTCTTTTTGGAGAACCAAATTCACTATTTGTTCTTTTTTTGTAAGCAAAAACTAACCTACCCAGAATGTTGCAGTTAATAACCTAAATATAACCTATACACAACGTTCTCTAATGAATCATTTTAGGCTTTATATTTTATAACCATAAAATAACCTTCCCAGAACATTGGGAGATTTTTGTAGCAACCTAAAGAGAACCTATGATTATAGCTGCAGTTTATCTAGTAGTAGATGGCAGACTTATCAATGGCTGTTAGCACAATACACATCTTTCTTGTTATTCAGAGTCCACTCAATACTGCTCAAAACGCCAGAGTTTTTGTTTAGTGTTCTGCATGCTCACAAATCATCTCATATAACAAATAAAATATAGAGAATTATGTAATTAAGAGCAGTCAGCATCATTGGTTATAACTGGTTATAAGTTTTTGCAAGAGTGCAGCAGAAGTCTCTGAGATTGTGATGAACTAAAGCGAGTAACCTTTTAGTGAGTATTAAGGGTTCACTTTGTACACTTTCTATAAATAATGATTAATAATGCATAATTTAATTTGAATAAAAGTTTTGTTTTTATTGCTGCTTAGAGGACCAACGGCCACATGCATGCTGCAAAGTTTTGTGACATCTGCATTTAAATGCAGGATTCACTCTCGAAATTGCAATGATTATAGCAGAGTGATAAACATATATATGTCAAAATAGAAAATAGATGAAATAGAAAATTTAGAACATTTTTATAAGTCAGCAAACATATTCACGCCCTAAAAAATCAGTTCTTGTATATTTTTCACGGTGCATTGCTATTCTTGATTTGGTGGTGCTTAGTTTGTTGGTTCGCTGTAACAATTTTTCAAAGTTTATGATGCCATTGTCTTACATTTTAAAATGTCTTCAGATATTTAAACTTCTGTAGTGTGTTTCAATCTTTCTTTTTATGCGTTTTGCATTTTTTAGATTAATTATCTCTGTACAATCTATATTAATTATCTAAGACTAAGTTAAAAAGTAAGTAAAACATAAATTACATGAGTAAGCTTGCAATGTCTTTCTGTTTTGAGTGAAATGGGTTAAAAATAAAACAAAACACCACTTGCGCTGGACAATATACCGGTTCAAACGGTAAACCAGTTTGAATTACACGAAGGGTATGAATTTTTAAAGGTCCCCTGAAATGCTTAAAAACACGCAGCGTTACTCTATGTGTTGACGTCATTTTAACTGAAACAGGAAGACAGGGCGGGACATATCAAGCAGCCCCGCCCCTTTTTAAAATAGCCAATAACGTTCGTTTATATCACAGCTTGGGCTAGAGCCGTTCAGAGCCATTGAGCTCCGTAAAGCTGCATTTGACAGGGTATGCCAGCCACAATCTCATCCATATTGCTATAAAATATAACATTCTGTGTAGAATTCAAATAGCTCCGATACATTTTGTGGTCTGCGCCGACTCGCGCATGTGATCCGCTCCGTGCTATCGTGTCTTTGGACCGGAGCAGAGTGTGTGTGCGGTGCGGTGGTTAGCATGACAGCGCCAAACCAGACTTATTTTTTTCCTCAATGGAAAGCATATTTACACTGTTTGAATCGTTCCCTGTCCACTATATAGTGCACTACGTGCCATTCACTGGATTCTAGAGAGCATTTGATTGGACAGAAGGTTTGATGAGAAGCTGAAGTACGATGTGACATCAAATAAAATCGGTGAGCCATTTTGGCGGAAGTGACGAACTGCAAGCGTTGAATAATTATATCTTCTAAATGCGAATTTTGTCACTGTTTTGGAGCACACTGCCTTACCATTAGACCATTTAACTTAATGATTACTATCGGGATGTGAAGAGACTTTCAACCAGCATAACAACATTTTTTTCTGAAGACAATCACCTATTGCACCTTTAAGACTAACATATTGATACTAACACCCAAAAAACTTTAATTTTGATTTCATGGGGACTTTAAAAAACCGGCATGGTACATGTGGCTAAGCAATGTACATAGCGCTGTGAATTGAGAGGACATCCTTGTTAACTGCATACACTTCTCACTAATTGTTGGAAAACTTTTAGTACTATTAATAATAACATAACTAATTCTTTAACTGGACAAATAAACCAACTGTAAATGGCCGTTGACCGAAGCCAGAGATGGTGAAGAGGAACACACAAAGGAGAAAGTAATGTAGCATGCAGTCATAATAAATAATTGTAATCTTTTCGTAATTTTTATTTGACAGCGGTTGTGAGCACAGAAGGATTTGGGAGAAGTAGGTTAGTACCTTTTGTAAGGATAAAAGAAACTCAGATACTTTGATCTTCTGAGAAACAGACAATACAAACTTACACGGGCATTTTCGAGACACCCCACAGAGTGGTGGTGCAGGAAACGCCTCGCTCACATATGCATCAGTTCCTTTTCATCTCCTTCCTTCCCCTTACCCATCCTCCCTCCACTTGATTCACTCAGAATGGTCAATAGTATAATGTTCTATATGAATGCAAATAAGATTTGCAGTCATGTTTGGTATCATTTTAATAGTCTCAGGGCGAGTGGTACAATGGTCTTAATCTTACAAAAGTAGACTAAAAGATAATACAGATCCTAAGAGTTAAGAGATACTTTGATTACTGTAGAGGGTCATTCCATGCAAATTACCTTCTGTTCCCATTGAGGTGTAAACCACCCAGGTCTGGGACCTGGGTTAATGCAAATTCCAATTGTTTGTACATGCCTCCATTTGGGGGATGTTTTATCTTGGTTGTGTATTTAAAGGATTGCAGCAAAAGGGTCGGGGCGATTCTGTAGCCAGAAAGCCCGTAGTATGAAGTGTCCACACACTTCATAGTATGTATTTTTCTAAAAGTCAGGTATGCATCTTACTCTTAGATTTTTCTTTGAGAATTAGATGTCTTGTATTGATTTGATATCTTTGAATTGGCTATGCAATTGGCATAATACATATTTACCTGACTGATAATAAATTGTTACATTTGATTTATTCTGACTTGCTCTGAAATTAATAATCTCAAGTAGATTAAGTGAAGGCGTATGTTTCCGCAAATCTGCATCCAGGGTTAAGTGCATACTAGATCTCAGGTTAGATGGAGCATGGCGCACATCAGGTGAGATTATAGATTTCTGAATAACTGCTTGACTTTAAGTTGTACTCAGTTGCGTTAACTATGGGGGA